GGATGGATGGATGGATGGATGGATGGATGGATGGATGGATGGATAGATAGATAGATAGATAGATAGATAGATAGATAGATAGATAGATAGATAGATAGATAGATAGATACGCTCTGCCTTATAAATGATGTATTTTTTTTCTTATAGATAAGAAGACAGATGGTGTGTATACAAATGCTAGGAAGCAGCTGCTGATTTCTTTGGTTCCTGCTGTTCTCATCCTCCATCTGAAAAGATTTCATCAGGTGATGCCCTAAAACAGGGTGCTTTTTCTAAAAGTTAATAGACAGGAATTTTTATTAGAGCTGCAATAAATATTTGTAGGGTTCATTTTCCCATGTTGTCTAGGAGAGGTGGAAGGTTTGCAAAAACAAAGTTGCCTTTGTTGCAGGTTAGCATTTTGCTGTTTTCACTGGGCAGTTAGTATACTGAGTCTTTTATCTATAAAAGCCTTTTTCTTATTCTAAGCATCTGTTGCTTATCACAGCTCATTCTAAAGGTTCACTGCCTGGCACTAGATCTAAAGTTTCTGGTCACCTGTAGTCTTCCTTTGTGACCTCACCTTATTTCCATTTCCTGTATGTGCCCTTTTTGGTTTTGAGATATTCCCCATAAAGCTTTTGTATAGCCACATTTGCTTCTTTTGTCCTTATTGGGATTCTTCAATTTTTAGTACCGCATCTAGTGAACCATATTGGACTCCATCAGTACAAAGACATTTTGGCAATGGGGCTTATATTCCCTACATCACCTCAGCATTTGTCTCCTTTCAAATCATTTTGCGAAGGAATATATCCGTTAAAAGAAAACAGTTGTAACTGGGGCCTGTTTTGATTTAGCGCTACTTGACTTCCTAGTTTAATAAAATGGTTCAGATATAGCATGACATTCAGGTTCAGGTTTTGCTTTTTATTCCTGAATATTCTAGGTTTAATTTTTGCTGGGCTGGAGTGGTATAAGGCAAGTTGATATTTTAGGTTGGATATTGTAGCTCTATAATATAATTTGTTTTGTAGACGTATCGTATCACTCGTAGTAATTACTGATTTATTTTATTTCAGATGTTTAAGACTATTTCTGCAGTATCATTAAATTCAAATGCTCCAACTATTTTCAATTTCTTTTTAAGGCTGGCGTGAGTCTAAGGAAAGTAAACCGACATGTAGATTTCCCACTTGTTTTGGACCTGGCTCCATTTTGCTCTGCCTTTTGCAAGGTATGACATAATAAAAGCATAATGCCAGATTGTGTTCTAAGCAAAATTCTTACCAGATTGTTATTGTTTCAGTTGAAAATGGAAAAGAATTCCTCTTATAGATGTCAAACATTTTTAGTCATGCATTTGAGCCAGAGTCTTGTACAGCACAAGATCATTCTGTTAAACCAAGATTTAATAATAGCTGAAAATATCTTTTGCTACCTGAAATTAGAATAAACTGGCTGTTTTCTTTTAATAAAATTGCATTTATTTAACAGAGTCTTGCTAATTGTTTTGGTAGGAGCAAAGATTTATTGTGAGTAAATCATCTTCCTTCCTCCCTCCCTCCCTCCCTCTCTCCCTTAGAATGTGACAGATGGTGGGAAGGTCCTGTATGTGCTTTATGGAATAGTGGAGCACAATGGCTCAATGCGAGGAGGTCATTACGCAGCATATGTAAAAATCCGAACATCATCCAAAAAACATTTGGAGCACAATTCTAGCAATAAAAATGTTCAAGGTACGTATCAAAGCACAATTGTGTGATCAAATAAAAAATACCTTCTGTGTTGTGTGTTTATTTTTTTTAGAAATATCACCAGTTTTAAAAGTTCAGTCCATGAATAACGTAAGCCAAGCATTCTTTTTACGGCATCAGCCCAATTTTTTCCAATGAAAGGAGGATGAAGACATAATCTTTCTTATATTTTCAATATTTTACATAGTTCCTTTTTTTCAAAATGTTGTTACAAATAACAATCATTGTAGAAAACATGATTCTTTTACACTGCATGGTATGTATATCAATTAACAGAACTCAGTCTTTGGCATGAGGTGGGCATGGACTTCTTAAGCAATCAAATGAGGCTGGTGACGCTCAGAGGCCATAAATGAGAAAAATGTGCTTTTTATATGGTCTGGATTTGGCATCCTATATCAGTTTTTCCTCACCCTTGCAGCCATTGCCTCCTTGCTCAAGCACAGAATAGTGGAGGAATACCAAAAGTAGCCTCATTGTTACAAGAACCACTTGTATTTGAAAAGAGACTACTTTTGCTTGCTTTAGTCCACAATTTGGGCGTCACTACTATAGGTGGTTTCCTTGTTTCACAAGGTCTTTCTCAAGCAACTTTCACAGCTGTAAGTAAAGTCTCCAAAAGAACAGCCAAGGACCTAAAAACAAAGCTGTAGATGTCATATAGTGGGGTACTTGTTTCTGAGTCTTAGTTGTTTGCTTAGTTTGATTGTACCTTCTCTTGCTTGTTGATTACAGTTAATGAACAGTAGTGTACATGTCTGTGTTTGCATTGCAGGTTTAAAAGAATCTCCAGGATCAGCTGTAGGACAGTGGGTGTACATCAGTGACACCTATGTACAAGCAGTCCCGGAATCAAGAGTATTAAATTCACAAGCCTATTTGCTTTTCTATGAAAGAATTCTCTAGACATGCTCAGTGTGGAAAACAGGGAAGCGATGAGTATTATTAACAGTTATTGAAGTGCAGCAGAACATTACAATATATGTAAATGTTGTGCCTTTATCTGTTCCTGTTCTCCAGTACAAAATATATCCTGGTTTCAGACTCTGCAAACCATGGCTTGGATGCAGAAAAGCCCATGCATGCATTATTTTCTTTCTCTCTTTCATACATACATACAAAAATATAGTAGGGTGGCTAACATTTCTGTTCAGTTGCTGTTTCAGAAGAACCCATAGCTTCAGATGCTTTTATGAAGAGGTGAGGGCACAGACTCCATTGAAATGGAAATTAATAAAACATTTACATATGTGATTGGAAGGAGATTGTATGTATGTATGTATGTGTATATGTATATGTTATAAACATACACGCACACGCACACACACACACACACGAATGAATGAATTCGAGCAGACATTGATTCTGAACTCCTAAAATGTAATGTGAAATACTGCATTCTGAAACTGAATAGTGATGTTTCAAAATGGTTTAGCTAAAATCAGTGTGCTTTTTAAAAAGTTAATTGCAGAAACAATGTTGGTAAGACTGATAACCTGATTTTTCCTTAGTGAAGAAAGACTGTTTATGGGCACCAAAGCATGCTTTTGTAAAATATTTGCACTTGAATATTCTTGAAAGCAGTGATTCTTATAAATTTAACATGTTCCACAATGGGAAGTAGTAATTTCAGGAAACAAAAAGGTCATTCTACAAAACTAGGATACTATGTTCTGTGTTCTAAAGGGAAAGTGGGAGTATACCCAGACCTGATTTCACTCCAGTGTGCTTTTCTGTATTTGAATATGCCTTGAAATCTGATGATGTTACATGTGGAAACTTTATCAGAAAGCAAGTTAAACAGACATTCTTCCTGGGGTGTGCTGGCTTTCAAATTTAGTGAAGCCCAAATCACCTCTGAATCCTCCATACTTGCACTGTGAAGCTGGAGCAAGTCATACTTTTTCAATATTCTCCATATAAATATATTGGCAAATAAATGCATGCTTTCTAGTGAAGAGATTACTTTCTCTGACATTGAAAGACAGTATCATGCAGAACAAGTCTCAGGGGTACAAGTATGTGTATATATGCTTTTATTTAATGCACACTATAGTGACCCTGTTTCTACAATAGTCTTAATTAGATCAAGAAGGGAGTTAGTAAGCTATGGAATACCTTCAAGGAAAAGTTAAATTAACTCCACCCAATCATAGTGTGGGGAATATCTAAAGATAATCAGTTGACTTGCCTACTTAATCCTTCAAGAAAAAGAGCAGAAGGCAAAGAGTAAGTGAAAAAGCAACCTTCTCAATGACAGAACTCATTTCTAAGGCTCAACAACATATAATGTACCTCCCAAACACTGGTTAGCTGCAGTGTTCAAGCCAGCCTAACCAATGGGGAAGGGGATAGCGATGTAATGACACTTTACTAGTACTCCTGATGTACTATGTATTTCCCGGAAAAAGTATGTTGGACTCTGTATGTTACAAATGGTTATTTGTGACCTGGTTAGGGTGATTGGGTGTTGCCAGAAGACCATTTGAATGGGTTAGAGAATGACAGTAAAGTATGTAGAAACAGGACTGTTGAATTAAATATTGTCTAACTTCAAAGAAAGCTACATTTTCCTAAAAGATTTGATCTTTTTTTGTCTTTTACATTATGTACGTTGATATTCTTGAGTGGTTTTCTATTAAAAATAGGTATTGGGGTGTCCAACTGTATGTGATTAAGATGACTTAAATAGAATCAGCTCTCAGGTCTTTGTTGTGATTATCAATACATTGTTTTATTTTTATATATTAAAGAACTGTACAATTAGATTCCCATTAAGTGTGGCTTTTGATATGTAAAATATGCCTGGATAGTTTAAAATTTGGTTATGTATAAATTTTGTAATTGATGCCACTTGGTTGGGTCCAGAAATAAGAAGGATTGAGTCCATATTGAAAAGGGTTAATGAAAGTCACCTTTCCTTCCCATTTATTCCATCTGAAACCTATTTTGAGAGTACATAACTCTGTTGAACAGGAAGGATTATTGTACAAGAGGATGAGAAGGATGAGTAAAAATTGAGTAGAGGCAACGTCTGCTAGTGGGAGCATGGAATATGTCTCTACCTATTTTGGGGAAAAAGGTGCTTTCAAAGTTCTATACATTTAATGCAGTAGGCTTGTTGAACCCTGGGAGAAGTCATGGCTGCTAGAATAGGAAAGTCTGCATTTATCAACTGGAGATACAGAATCAGAGGTAACTATTATAGGACTGTTTTTCTTTCTGTTTGTTTTTAAGTAGTATGAGGGGGAGAAATGTATGAGTGTGGTTCTGCTGAACTTCTCAGTGCTCTTCAATACCACTGACCATGGTGTACTTCTAGATCCGCTGTGAGGATTAGGAATAGAGGGCACTGTTCTTCAATGATTCGCCTTCCTGAATGGCTGGCTACAGTCAGTGATGGTGAGTGGGAAGAGGTTGAGCACTTGGCTATTTCATTATGGAGTGTCCACAAGCTTGGTCCTCTCCCCATTACTGTTTAACAGCTGTATGAAGCCACTGGGAGAGATCATCATCAGCATGGGATGAGATATCATCAATATGCTGTGTATTAGATACAGGCTCCTCTTAGCTAGTTAGGGCTTCCCAGTAGGTGATAGGTAGCTGGATTCAAATGGTGGTAAATGCCTCCATATAGGAGGTGGTGGTTCTACCTGCCTTGAAGAAGTCATTGCTGGACCCAGCTGCACTGGATGATTTTAATCCAGAATCCAGCCTTATAAATTTGATAAATATGTTGATGATACCCAGTTATATATCTTCACCCTGGGCTGGACAGGAGATTTGGTAAAGATCCTGATCTGGTGCCTAGAGGCTGTTAGGGTCTCAATAAACAGGCTTAGACTGAATCCTACAAAGAAAGAGCGGCTGTGGATTTGAAAGTCGACAGGGTGTAGAAATAATTCATATTTGATTGTGGATAGAGTTGGCCTGCAACTTGAGTGTCTTTCTGGGTTATGGGGCCTGCTTGAAGACAATGCTGAGGTTACAAGGGCTTTTGTAGAATTGCATCTTCTGTGGCAGTTGCAGCCTTTTCTGGATCAAGAGATTTACAGTCATTCTTGCCTTGTAACCTTGTAGCTAGATCATTGCAGTACACTCCACATGGAACTATCCTTAAAGACCCTCCAGAAGCTTCAACTAGTACAGCATGCAGCAACCCACATAGCTATGGACAGACAGAGGTTTGTCCATGTAATGCTACTACCATGGAAGCAGCAGTGGCTGCCAAGTAGCTTCCAGGTACAATTCAAGGAGCTAGTTGACACTTTTAAAGTCCTGCATCTCTGGGATTACCTTCTCCCTGTGGAATCTGACGATCCAATAGTATCTGGGAAAGGAGGCTTACCAAGGGACCCATCACTGAAGGAATGCCTTCTAAAGTAGTGGTCACACATTGGACCTGTTCTGGGGCAGCGGTGGCATGATCTAGAATTGGGAGATATCTGTTGTGGTGGTCAGGTCACTCACCTTAGGGTTCTCTTCAAACACGCCTTGGCACAGGGAAGAAGGGCCAATTGATTGGTCTCCCCCAGGCACCTGATAGACTCTATAGGCTTAAAATGGGTTGGGTTGGGTTCATCTGAAGCCTTTGTTGCTACCTGGAATGAAAGGGCTGCCATGACCTTGGATTGAATTGTGCCTATTCATAGATCCCACAGAGCCACTAGGAGAAAACAAGTGAATCAGACTGAACACAGGTAAGATATTTTCTTTAAGACTACCTCGTGGTAAAAGGACAGAAACATGTAATTTTTCTACTCTTATCGCATCTGCAGATAAATGTTGGTTAGACTAACCCAATCCCTCTTAAGGAAAGGGGGGACTAGAAGAACATCTACTAGTGATTTGCTTGTAGTTATAGAGGGTCCTGGATGAAATGGATTATCTGGACAGCACTGGTCAACTTGTAGATGATGCAGTCTGGTGGGATCGGGATGGGGTGGCTTTGATTTCTCATCAGCCTTTGATACAATCAATCACTATATCCTTCTGATCTGCTTCTAGAGATTAGGAGCTAGAGGCATGGTGTTGTAGCAATTCTCCTTCCTTCCTTCTGGGGCACTTCCAATTGATGCTGGTAGGAGAGATTGTGCCCCAAGCCTTTATTTTGTGGGGTCCCTCAGGGCTCTACACTTTTGCAACTACTATTTAATATCTATATGAAGCCTCCAGGTGAAGTCATCCATCAGCAACAAGTCAGGTATCAGTATGCAGATGCTACTCAGTTATACGATGATGGACCAAGTGATGCCATCAAGATTCTTTCCCAGTGGCTATGGGGATCTGGATGGGGAAGAACTGGCTTTAGCTTTATCCCTTTAAGTCCCCTGACTCTGGCAACTCTCCATTTTTGGTCCTGGATAGGGTTGCACTCCCTCAGACTTGTGCACAGTTGGGGGGGGGGGTTTCCTCTTGGACTCAGTTCCTGTTGGAAGAGAAGATGGCAGCCATCACCAGAAGATCTTTTGCACAAATCTATCTTGTATGCCAGTTACACTCATTTCTGGACCAGGAAGCCCTACACTTAGTCATTCATGCCTAATCACCCCCTGGAAGGACTATTGCAAAGTACTGTAAATGGGACCTTGAAAACCCATGCAGAAGCTGCATTTGGTCTGAAATGCAGCAGTGAGTAGCTATGGAAGCACTTTAATGCACTCGTGTAACACCACTTTACGAGCTGTACTAGCACCCTATAAGCTTCCAAATGTAATTCAAAGTGCTGGTTACCATTTATAAAGCCCTTCATGGCACAGTGCCAAGTTATTGCGGGACAATTTCTCTCCAATTGTCTCTACTCATCCTGGCAGAATGAGCATGCTTTGAGTCCCTTCCATGAAACAATGTCACCTAATGGGATTCAGGCGGTATGTGTACTCCAGTGAATGCATGGGCTTCTAATACTGTATATCTCAAAAACTGGGGAGGGAACAGTTACATATATGCAAAAAGGAGTTGGACAGAACTGCTCATTTTGATATTTATTGTTTCAGGAGTTCTGGTATATACAGGCAACTTTGTATGCATGATAATAAAATGGATGAATAATTTGATTTGTACCAGAGGTTATCTTGTACAAATAATTTTAAATAATTATCCCAAGTTACAGATAACTTCCCCCCATATATATTGATTTTTTCATACAATTTAAAGTTTAGTCCCATAAATCAGAACTTTAAAGGAAAGTGAAGAAATGAATTCTTTAATTCTCACACTGAGATCTATGGTATTTAAATGCGCTTCATTTTGACTGGAGCATGGCCTATGATACCAAAGTAAACATTTGCCATTTTTCTCTATTTGTGTTGTAAAAGTCAGTGAGTTTATTGCTACTTCTGGTTGGAGCTATCCTACTGTGATTTTCTTTAATTTTAAAGAAAGAATTGTATTTCTTTCCTCTGTCTCCTTGTTCTACCCCTACCATTTGTTCTGTTCACATTCTATATATAGCTATATGCACTGAATAAATAAATGAATAAATAGAAATTAATTCTTGCATTTGGATCTGTTGCAGTTATATTACACAGCCACTTTTCATAAAATGTATATCATTATCATTCTCCTGTTCTTGCTTTCCCTGGATACTCTAAACATTGGCACAAATGAGGAGTGGATTCACCTTAAGTATCTGTTACCCATATCTGCATAACAGTAACCCCTGTCATTCCTAGCCAGCATACCCATTGGTGATTTTGTCTTTGTGTCTGTAAAACATCTCAGCTTAGGATCAGAAAAGAAAATTGATAAAAGCATTGTGTCAACTGAGGTAGCACCATCCTCTGGTTTGATCTTGGAAATGCGTATCTCATTTTACTGGAACATGATCTACACATTAATTGGGCTTTCCAAAACAAGAATATTGGCAGCTATGACTAAGATACTGTTTTATGGACAGATGCTTTGTAAATGGGATTTGTCTATTTTTGAAATGAGGAAGGAGGCAAAAAGAAAATCTAGTCTAGATTCCTAATAGATTATTACTGTATGTGACTGGTCCAAGTCTAGGCAAGGTAACTTTATGCACAATCGTTGCTCTATACACAGAGGTACTAGTGCATAAATGTTCCACTTTTTTTTTGTGCTGTATTTGGGGGGCTTGTCTACTACTTGTAGTAGCCTAGAAATTATTCCCTTAATCTTTTTTTTCCTTTCAAAGTAAGCATTAGTTGATTTTGACTTTGACTTTTAAATGCGTTGGTTGTCAGTTTCTAAAACAGCATCATAGGAACACATTCATACTGAAGCCCTTGGTGCTTTTAGGTTCAAGAATATACAAACAGTTTACTAAATATATGTATGTTGACAAGTAAAGTCCCCTAGATAAGTGGGTTATGTGAGTCAGGATACTAAAAGGCCTTTTAAATGCATTAACAAGAATGACTGCATTTCAATACTAGTGCTCTTGGATTATATTTGAAATGATGGTGCATATGCAGACAATATAAGTTACCTAATAGCAAAGTCAAATGCAAGCAGAATTTACTTTGTACATGCTATCAAAAGCTATTACTCTATTTTTACATATAATGTATAGAATGTTTTAATATGTATTTAACAGAACCAAGGCAAAATAGGAAAATGACTTCTAAATATATTCCATTTTGGATGGAATTAGAAAATAAACTATTTTTTGAAATAAAATATCGGGTATTTAAGAAAATGTGTGTTTACATTTATGTGATTGGGTAAAATAAAACACATACTTTGTTGAAATTTACTGTTAAGTTTTGGTTTATTGTTCAGGCCAACTTCTTCATACAGATGGAGTTAATGAAGGCATTGTAAGTCTAGAATGGAAACTGCATTCCAATTATATGATTAATATGAAAGACTACATTTATTTTCTCCAGTGTATACTGCATGTTTAGTATGCTGCAAAATAGTTCAAAATCCTCAAAAGGAAGATTTATATTAAATAGTGAAATGTCTCATTAATAGGAAAGAAAAAGGTACTGTCTTGCCTCATTTACCAGAATATTTTTAAATAATGAAACAATAGGAACCTAGCTTTCTCATAACCTTTCCTAGATTTATTTATACATTTGAAATCCCCTCTAAGATCAAGAGGAAAATCTAAACAATGTAACCTGATCCAAAGTGGTCCCAGAGTACTTTGCATGGTCCAGACCTCTTGGGATCGTTCATTATTGAGATTTGATTGCCAGGAATCATCAGCTGTCTGCACCAGCTATGCCACAGCTTCTTTTTATCATGTCATTTCTTGCCATTTTAACCATCTCTTGATTATCGCTTCATCTGAAGCAACCTGCAGCTGTTGCAGACTGATGAAATGCTCATTTCTATTGTATCCTGAGTCAAATTCCCTCCTGTTTATTTTCCACATATAATGAAGCTTACCCTGGAGACTAAGAAAACCTTGGAACGATGGGGTTTAAATAATGTCTGATAGACGGGTGTTCATATCCATACTTCATGAGAGCAGACCTTTTGTGGCATCTCATTTGCCACTGTGCCTTCTCTGACCTACTGAGCAATGCCAATAGTCTTAATAATTGAGGACGTAGCACAGAATCCATGAAAAATGCAGTGAATTAAATAAAATTTAAAAACAGAAAATACCAAAACTCTCCCTATATACCCTGCAGAAATTCCAAGTTCCACCCATTGTTGTACCATGCCCCACAATCTCTTTTCATAATTGCCCCACCCACAAGCATCCTTGGCCTCCACCAACATGTTAAGTGTGTCTCCTGGCCACAAAAAGCTGCCCACATAGAAGTTGCCGTTGTCAGTATTCCTCTTCACTTGCCACTGTGCTACGTTTTGCAGTATGTATGTGATGCTAATCCAATGTGCCCGTTTGGGCAGTCAGAAACATTCTTAATATCCTGTCAGGATGATTCAGCCCAACCAGAACATCATCATATCCAGAAATCTTCCCCAGCATTCAGTCATAGAATAATAAAGCTGGAAAGGCATTTTTGGCACAGAATGCAACCACCTGTTTAGTGCAGGGATTCAGAAAAAGCCACCCTCAAGAAGCGAGTATCTATCCTCTGGATAGTTATAGCATAGGTTTTCTTGGACTCGTGTATTCCATTAAATACAAGTGCATATTGGAAAGTTGTAAAGTTTTAGAAAGTGAAAATAAGAAAACTTATACAAAGAGGAGCACTTTAGGAAGCAGGCACTGGCCACTCCCCCTGCGTTAAAATGGATGGGAGTCGTCTGAAACATAGCCTTGGTATCTGGAGGTTGAGTCAGCCCCCACATAATTCCACCTGGATGACTGAGAATCTTCATCAACATATAGCCTTGGTAATTTCCACTCACGTGAAGCATTTGAGTTCATCATTCTGCTTTTCAGAGACTTATTCTTTAACAATACAATAGTTGTTCTTTTAGTCTTTACTTTTTAAAATGCTAAAGCATCCTAAAATGTTACTGCGAGCAGACCAAACGCAGTCATGTCAGACAGAGAGATTATTTGAATAATGTTAAAGGCAAACAGCTTTTGTTTCTCAAGGAGAGAAAGAGTATTAAAGGAAAACTAAAATAGGATGCGGTTTTCACGCTACGCATGTTTTCTTGGAAGTTAAGCCTCACTGAGTCTTCAGAAAAATTCAGACTCTAGATATCATTATACAACTATATTTTAGCGCTTAGAGCTACCAAAATCCGGACGGCCAGGAGATGGCAACAAAGACTCGTCTGGTGTGGGTCTTCCGGGCTGTGTGGCCGTGTTCTGGAAGTTTTGTTTCCTAAGACCCACACCAGCCATCGTATGCCGGCCGTGAAAGCCTTCGACAATACAAAGACTCGTCTCTTTGCTGCTATGTAGCGGACGTGCAAATTTTTGCAGCTCGTATTTAACTCATTTGAAAACGTGGAGGATTGTAGCGCAAGGCAGAATCAAACATACAGCACCGCGGCGCTAGCAGAAACATCAAAGGGGGCGGCGTATGCGTCAATAAACTGCTCCGTATGACAACCACTCCCTTAGTAAAAATGGCGCGTACAGAAGACTTTCAGTCAGAAGCTTACAAGATGGCTTTGCTTGTTGGCAAACGAAACATTAACTACCATAAAACTGACAGCTGCAAAATTCTAATGCAGTGGTTGAGTAAGTTTCCCAGATGCTTGTACTACCGCTCCCATCAACCGCTGCCAAGGTAGAGAAGTAGTTGGAATTGGTGCCCAAAGAATCTGGAGACCAGTATCTTCGCTTCTAGGCTTGTCTCGGTCAACGCCTCCGCCCTGACTAAAGATGGCTGATAGACTCAAAGGGCAGGATTTCTCCACCGGGTTGCGGTGACGTAACTTGCTGTTCCGGGTGAGTACCAACGGGCGCCATTTTGTGTGGTTCGCGCAAAGCTGACCGGGGAGACGGAGGCAGCCGAAGAGCTGCAAGGGTTACCGGTCGGCGCGGAAGGCGCGGGCGAGGTGAGTAACTGCCCGCGTAGCGGCTGCGGTCGAGAAGAGGCGGAAGCCGGCCGATGAGCTGATTCCTTCCGCCATATGTGCTCGACGCTGAATTCTGAGCAGGCGGAGTTCGCTGTGGCGAGGCTGGGGGAGGAGAAGAAGATGCAGGGCCGGTGCTCTGGGCTCTGATTAAGAACACAGAGGAGCCCGCTAGTCCCCTTCTGCTCTCCGGAATGGCTGATCGTTTCCTACAAGCGCATTCGCGATACTCGTAACAGAGAAAGGGAGAAAAAAACGACTCCGTTATGCGCATGCGCTGTGATCCTGGCTGGACTACCGAAGCGGCGGGCTGAGGTTGGGCTCGTTACGAGCCCTGTGTGCGCTTGCGTTGAGGTCCCCTAATCTGCACGGGATAAAGCCTGGATTGACACTTGGGGCGACTGCTTAGTTCTGTTGCCATGGTAACCAAGTAAGAAGGCCAGGAGCCAGGCGCGCACGTTGCGTTGTAAACATGTTGGGACACCCGTGTACGGGATTGCTGATAGCTAGGAGATAGGGGAAGGATGGCGTGTGTGTGACTTGTATTATTCTCGCGTGGGAAAAAAACCTGTACTTAATATAAATTCTGATATTTTTAGCATCATCCTATGCATGCTTATTCAGAACCAGGCCTTTTCCAGTTTTAATAGGATGTCCATGCCCAGAAATGATTAAAATAGTACCCTAAATTCCGGATGGAAAGGGAGTGGTGTACAAAAAAGAGCTGTTGCCTTCATGTTATATTTCTGGACTGCCGAGAGAGATCAGGTTGACAACTATTGGAAGTGGTTTCCTGAACTCAATGGAACATTGATATGAAACAATAGAACTGCTTTGTGTATGGATTTTAATTGCAAAATGTAGAATGGGATTCTGTCTGCCACAGTACAACAAGTTGTGCCATTTTAAGACAGTTCCAGCCCATAGCTACTGAATAAAATAGTAAACTCACTTCTGTTGTATGAAAGATAATAAAAGCAGCTCTGATGAGTTACATGGGCTAAGTTGTAAGCAACCATTCACTTGGTTGTCTCTAGTTTAGGTCTCCCTGCTTTTCCTTGTGGGCTCTAGATGACTAACAGAGATTTGTCATTTTAGAAGAGGAATAACCTTGGTCAACTTATTTTCAGAAATGATGGTGTGGTAAACAAAAGTGGCATAATTAGATCTATTTTTATTGCAGACGCTTGTCATATTCATAACTTTGTAATGTAATTGCCATTTTCATACCATATTTCAGATTGTATATTTCTCAGATATGTTCTTAAAATAATGCATAATAGGGATGTAGTAATGTTTATCTCTTTGGGGGAGGGGATTATTTTTTACTTTCAATTTTTAAACCGATTCAGAAATATTTGTGTTAGATTCATTATTTTTCAAGTGTCCTGATCATATTAGGTTAGGAAAACATGTATGTGTGGTGCTTAAGACGTTTATGCATTTAAAAATTGTATTTACCGTACTTCCATCATACCCTACTTTCAGTGAACTGCAGGTATTATATATTGAATTTATTTTTGTTATTTATTTGTATACAAACTTTGTGGCATGTTGAACCACTGGTTAAGAGAAATAGCATGGATAGATGATAGTATGAATCAAAGGATTCTTTCTTCCATGCTATTATGTACACAATATTATCCTTCCAATTATCGGTATAAAATATTTGGTAGTAGGTGATGGAGAACAGGGGTAGGTCAGATTCTCCCATCAAAATTAAAAAAAAAAAATGATTTTAGTGATCTTCTGTGAACAAGTTGAAATCTTTCTTGATTTAATCAGTTGAGATTATAGCTATAAAATTTAAAGGGGTGGTGCAAGTTCCATTTAAAGGTACAACAGACAAATTGGTGGTTGTAGATGTCATGTTGCCAGTCCCTGGTATAAAATATTTGATAGGACAGTTATTATATAAAAACGTATAATATCAGTGCCATTCTCACAGAATATTGTTTCCTAAATGTACAAAAATAGGGAAAAAAACATTGGTTTTGAATAAATAAAGAAAAGTAGTTTCTTTATAGACAGAAGACTGCTAGAAGTGGCTGTATTTCTAGGAATATATGCTCTTGCTTAAATGTTTGAAGGTCTTCTCTTCATCTGAAGAATTTTGTACTTCCATTACTTCCATGAAAGGAGTGCACACTTCTCATTTCCTTGACTGCTGATCATTCCACTAATCTGCCCTCTCCTGAACTTCCCTGTGCTTCCCCAAAGCATAAAATCTTGATTTATCAGACTTTGTCCATTATTTCAGGGAAGTGTGCAGACTCAAGTTTTGTCTATTGCATCCAAAGTCCATTAAATGCAGATGTGTTAAACCAAGATTGTTCTGTCTAGCAGCATATCTGAGATTTTAATTTTTTACTTTATAAAAGTACTGTTGAGAATTTAGAGATAAATGTACAGTGAGAATACATTTTATTGAAAGGAATACAAAAACAGTCATGTCACTAATGTGTAAGCATCTAAAGATGCTAGAATCTAGAAATTATATGAAGAAATCAAACAAGCTTTTTTTCCTGTAGAATAAAGAAGTTTGCATCAATTCAATCACTTTGATTTTATCTACCATAAAAATGGAAAGTGGAAACAGCAAGTTAAGTAATTTGGAATACATGCACACACACACGGAAATCAGTTATATTTGGCATCTATTCATGTGCATTGTGGCTATTAAAATTATAATATTTAAAAATTTTTTGGCATATTTTAGGTGAGTCTTAAGATTTGCTGCAAAAATACAAAGGGAGAGCATATGCCATTAATTGGAAGAGGACAAAATCATAAATATTGGTATCCTGACAATTATGTTTTGTCTTTTAGGAACTGTTCTTGATTCTTTTTGCTATTAAAACACTAATACAGCTACTAAAGCTTTATTCACAGATATGGGCAAATTCTGGGATAAAATAGTGTTTTGATAATCAGAGGTGGTCAACAAATGTGCCTTACAACCAGAGTCTGAATTCCATGATAAAATTACTGTGCTAAAACAAAGAAAAGTAGGCCGTTTCAATCTGATATGGAAAGAGGATGGAGGATATATGAAATTATAAAAGAAATAAACAAGATCATGATCAGGATAACTTTGCAGATTTACAGTTCTTTGCTAGAAAAACCTGTGTACTAAATAGAGCATTCCATTTTATGTAATCTGAAAGCAATATTTAATGGGGCAAAGGGATTGAGAATTAAGCTTTTATATTATTACCAATTTTCAAATGTATATAATATGATGCAGTGTTGTTTGTGTAATCTGCACAGGAACCATGTGAAGGAGAGGAAAAAATAATTTTCTAACAGAGCTCATCTAGTTTATGGTTATCAGATTTATTTATTTAAAGATTTATAAGGCGACCCAGATCAAACAGTGTAACTCAAGGGAATGTATAGTTGATATTTTTAGCCCCAGTAAATAGGTTTTTACATTCGTTTCATTTTGCTCCCACCATTTTCCAAAGATTTTTGTACAAATAATAGCTGTTTTAAAAAATACAGCAGAAAATCAATTTAAAATAATGGGAAACTAAAATAAAATCATGGCTTTTAAATCCTGTGTGCCAAGATCATCCCAGGAAGGCAGATCTTGTAGCACATCTGGAAATTATTCAACTTTATATTTGATAGACAATTTTGCAATCACAATGGTAAAATGTATTTATTATTAAATTTATATGCCGCCCATCTCCTCCAGATAAAATATCCACATCCAAATATTTTTGTCAGTCGCAGCTTACTAAGTCTCAAGCAATAGCAGATTTCAGGGAAATCCTGTATAGTTTCTGTGGAATATTTTGATTACAAGAATGTCATAATTTTTTTGGAAAAAGGTTTGGATGGCTTTGTATGGGTAGTTTAGAAAGGGTTGGATGTCACTCTATACCGCTGAATGACTTAAAACTGAAGCTTGAACTCAAATTTGAAATGTTATTTTTGATCAGATAGATAATATATAAACAACTAAAGATGTGGGATCAAGGTGGACAGCCTTGGCAACAGTGGCCTTTGAATCAGCAGCAATGGATGCAGTCATTTCAACATCAGCAAGATCCAAGTAAGTAAATAGCTGTAATTGTGCTTTCAGCATGAAAGTTAAGATAGTAACCCACATTTTAGGAATTTGGTTAGAATATTACTCTTTCATTTGACATAGAAAAAAATGCTAGTGATGAGTTCACAAAAAACTGTTAGATCAAAACCTCAAGCAAATCTGTATTTACAAACTTTTGAAAGTTGTTACAGGTTGCTTTTATGTTGCTCATAAGTAGTCCTTCAGATTGTAATGTGAATAGGAGAAAATGCTGGTAATTTATAAGCAGCAATATATGCTGAGTTGATAATTTATTCTCTATTCCAATGTACCTTTATTGAAATTCTTAAAGAAACATCTCCCAATAAGCTGGGTTTGCTAGCTCACAGCATTTTCCAACTCACTAATATACTATGAAAGTGTTTTGGGCTATTATAATAAACATCTGTGTCAGCTATATATGTGTAACAATACTGACAAATACAGAGGGACTATTTGAGAGACTAGAAGTCTTTTGAGTTTTATGCATAGTGGAAGAACTGTTGGTTCTCAAAAACTATATTATCAAAATACATTGCATTGTACACTGTCACCTTCTAATCCTTTTTCTTTTCTAAATTTGAGTTACTCTTAATTTTATAGTGTACAATCCTCATACAAATTATAAATTGTTCAGTATTTTGACCAACTGCGGGCCTCTCCTTGGACAGTAACATGCAAAATAATACAAGGAGAAACTTGCTAAAAGAGTTTCTTGCTCTTTGATCCTTAACCCTTTAAGACAGAGTTCCCAAATTGTGAGGTGTACCTCCCAGGGGGAGGTGCAGACAGAGTCTAGGGGAGATGTGAAGAACCTTTTAGTTACATTGTTACAATAAATCCACCTTTCTCAAAGTTTCACTGTATTGTTTTCATAGTTCATTTTGTTCATTTTGGTGTTTGGATTTTTAGGGGAAGTGTATACATTTAGATTACACTAAAAGGAGATTTAATGGCAAAAAGTTAAGGAACCCCTCCTTTAAGATGAGGTGGGAGACTTTCTTATGCTGAGAGGTTTAATTTTTTTTTTTTAAATCTTTGGTTTCTGAGGGCTGGAAGGAATATATTCAATAATGTTATGACATCACTGGAATTGGGGATCCCTATTTTGTTGCCCTTTTATTTATTGGTGGTGGGGTTAAAGGGCAAAAAGGACAAACATTATGCCTTGCAGAAGCTTAAGGCACCCATTTTGCTATTTAAAACCCCCATACTCTAAGAAATGGGCTGGAAATGTTGGCCCCACCCACTACAAGCTGTGGGTTCTCTACCTTTCCTTTAAAAAATGTTTTATTCTAATCCAAACCAGCTACATGTGTGTTCTTTCCTTTATATACATATGCTATCTTTCTCTTCTGTTGTTAATAGTTTTTTTATTTTTTTATAAAAAAGAAAATAGAAAAGAATAGTCTGTATATTCATCAACTCAGTCAGATCTGGATGTGCTAACTGAAGGCTAGTGTTCCAGTTCTGTTAATTGTTACATTGTTGCAACAAACCAATACTCTGTTAATACAAGGAGAAACACAGAAACAGAATGTAGTAATCCTAGGATGCCTGAGTATTACAATTATTTTTTTCAAACGTAGTGTTCTGTAGAAGAGTAGAAGCAAAAGAGGCTACAGATTGGAGGAAATCTAGGTGCATCTAAATCAGCGGTTTGTCTCTGTCTCTCTCTCCCTCCCCCTCCCTCTCCCTTCCCTCTCCCTCTCTCTCCCCCTCCCCCTTCCTCTCCCTCTCTCTCCCCCTCCCTCTCCCCCTCCCTCTCCCTCTCTCTCTCTCTCTCATGGGATGCCTAAGTGTTCACATAGGCTGCTTAAATATTTAAAACACATAGAAACTGGCCCATGTTCAGGATTGAGTTGTATAGTCTAAATCTTTGCATGTTTTTCAGTAAAAAGTTCTTAATTCAGAAAAGCTCAAGATTCTCAATAAATCAGCATAGAATTGCAGTCTGGGATGTGGTATCAGTGTCTGCTAGATTCCTCCAAACTATACCTGATAGATGATGTAGATTTTTTTTTTAATGGAGGATTGGAGTGTGATAAAATAATGCACTCTTTGTTAATGTTATGGTGCAGCTATATATAGTGTAGTGTAGTGTAGTGTAGTGTCACATAGCATAGCATAGCATAGCATAGCATAGCATAGCATAACGTTCATTCAGCGGGTCTTAGTTCTGTGAAAGTTGCATTGAAATACAGTCCATGTCTAGTAATTATTTGTCTTTAACAGTACTCTCTAGGTAAATGATGCTAAGAATATTTTTCCCCAGGCCTTATAAAATAAAGCTGATGTATAAATAAGATGCAATTTTTGGTTGTGTGATGGAAATCTATATATTGAAAATCTAATTCTGCTTCTAGGCCAGATTGACTGGGCTGCATTAGCTCAAGCATGGATTGCTCAGCGGGAAGCATCGGGGCAGCAGGGTGTGGTAGAACAGCAAGGGATGATGCCAAATGGCCAGGAGATGACGGGAATGGAACCTGGTCCAAACAACCATGGTAATTTTCAGAATGATCCAAACTTCAACAGAATATGGCAGCCAGGTGTGTTGTTGATCCTTTTTTACTGCATTTGGAATCTTTTTAGTTGTGGGTGCAATTCTTAAAAGAGCACTACTATGAACTTAAAATCTGATTGGTTTGCAAAATTTTCTGTAATGCTGGGCAGAATTACATTAGGACAACATTTCTTTTATGGGAAGGACAAGAAGCACTGAATCTCCCATGTAACTGTGCTGCTTGTAGATGTATATAATATATTTTGGATTTTTCTGCCTTAATCATACATGGATTCAGATTGTGGTCTGTAGATGCTTTGGGGATCTAGCTTTGTAGCATGATTATACTACAAATTATTAGGAAAGTTACATAAATTCAGAATTGTATAGACAGGCATAAAGAATTGAAAGGTATTGGCATTAAACAAACAGGACAGAGTAATTTTCATAGTTCCACAACAATTTTATTCAGTTCTATGCTTGATGCCAAATGCATTTCAGAATAGTCTTCATTGATACAATTTCTGCTGCTTAGGTAAAAATAAAACAAACAAACAACCCCCCCCCCCATTACCTTTCTGAGTAAAAGAAGAGAATATTCCTTGTTTTCTGAAGTGAAGTTGCAGAAATTACCCCTGATAAAGGAATATATACCGTGTGCACAATTATTAGGCAAGTGAGTATTTTGACCATATCATCATTTTTATGC